GCGGCAGAGCGCGGGGCGGCGGAGCGGGGAGGTTGCCCGGCCGCCCTGGGAGCGGGACTGTGCCTCCAGGCGCTCTGCCAAAATCTAAGGAGCTGGGAAGAGCTGGAGGACGAGGGTGGATGTCAGTGGGCACCGTGGTGGCCCTTGGTTGGGAAGTGATGGTGACAGCGTTTCAGTAAGCTGCAGCGGTTTTCTGTGGTGCTGCCGGTGACCACTCAGAGACATCCTGAGGGTTTTTCTTTTGCTTTGTTAGAAGGCAAGGTCCCACTTTGGCTCTCTGTAGTCGTTGTCTTCTCTCTACTTTTGCACAAGATTAGTTGGCCTAACTCTCAAGACAGGAAAGGGCAGAAAAATGTGTTGTCCTTGGCACCTAAAAAAGCTAACTCCACGCTTTTTTCCACCCATTTGTTTGAGTATTTGTCAAGAGCTGGGCCAGGTGAATGGTTTGTGCCCTGAACCGGATTATCTCGACTACTGTAGCACTACATTAACCAGTCTGAACCAAATCCTGCTTTAGCAGTGGAACACAACAGTGCATACAAATCACCGCTCTGAACAGGAGGCCTAGCAGTACCTCTGTGCTTTGGAACTTCAGCAGGGCCTTCTGAAATCATTTCATGGTAACAGTCCATGCCTAAAGAATCCCATTCACCAATAAGTTAGTGCGATTTGCACCTATCTTTGCCACAAAAAACAATCCACAGTCCCTCCAGAAGCTGAAATAGCCCATTATCTAATTGGATAAAGTCGGAAAGTTGCTGTATTTATTTTTTCTTGTAAAACCCGAGAAAAGTAAAGTAGTCTTATCCGTAATTTTGACTCCACTGTTTCTAGGTTATAAACTGTGTGTGTACACACTCGTTGTATATGTTATGTACTCAGTCACTGATAATGTAGATGTATTTTATTTCCAGAGTGAATTGGCTAAGTAAAAAGCCTAAATTGGATAAGTAAAAAGTGCATCAAGTGTAAATAGATCTGTAAGGGCATCTTTGTTATTTCAGCAACTCTTTAACTAGAAACTGACCTACTGCTCTGTACTGACAAACAATCAACATCTGCTTGCTTAAAGTGATTTTTTTTGTATCACAGTTTAGTTTGACTGAACTTTACCACAAAGCGGGCAGTTGCTTTACAGTATATGATGGTGTAAAAGGTGGTGAAAATGAACAGAACAGCAAATGCATGCTGTATAATGATTTCCCCTTCTGAGACTGAGTAAGGAGGAATATTTGTCTAATGATGGGGAAAATGTGTTTGACACTAAAATGATTGCACGAAAGATACAAATGAACTAGACAAATGCAAGGCCAGTGACTTACAGCTCTCTGGTTCCGAGTGCCGGACGGTACCGTTCTATGTTTTGAGAATTTGGCCAACCAGTCTGTGTTAAAAATGAAGGATATTGCAGCAGGGAAAAGAAAGAAACCCCCCAAACCCCAAACCCCAAACCCAAACCAAGGGGGTGCAACGCGGTGTTTTCTCTCTGCCTGCGCGGGAGCGGCGGGGCCGGGCGGGGCGGCGGGCGCTGTCCAGGGTGCTGCACGGCAGCGCC